GTTTGTAAAACAGTGGCAATTATGAACACGATCGTTTTGGTTGGATTTCAAATAGTGAATGTGTGAATGGTTTCAATACGCAAAGAAGACACAATGTCGTCGTTTGAAATCTAATCATGATGAATACAATGGCGACACCACGGTAGAGAGAAGGGGCTGGCACCATGGACTAGTTGGATTTTGGTAAAAGCATAGGGATATGGTTCAACGTGTTTTTTAATTGTGAACAATTTCTGGCTCAACAACGGTGAACATAGTAACAGTGGTGGGACTCAGGGTTTCTTCTACCTCGGARCAGAAATAAAACTGGTTTTCCATAACAACCCAACGCAACCCTCGCAACTAAGTTTATGCTTGAACGCGACCAAAACCATGCTATGTGTGAGGTTCAGCGGGCGCGTGAAAAAAAAAATGGGTGTGTATTTTAAAAAAAAAGGTTGCGAGCGGTCGCTACTGCTTGCGAACACTTTTTGTGACGTAAAACACAGTAAAACGCAAGCAATCACGAGTAGATAGTGAGTGAGGGCAAATAACGCTCAACCACTCACTCTTTATTGTAAACATGTAGTTATACGACACTAAAGAGCATACGTAGATTTTGCAGGTTATGAGCCCAAAGAACATACCTCAACCTCATCAACCACACACTACTAATAGTAACACCATCATCCAAATGGACAACACAAGCTAATGCAACTGGAATGGGTGCCATACCCACAACAAAACCTTGGACCAACACCCCCAGCATCCCAAGAAAAAGGGAATTTTCTTCCATCACTGGGCCCTACAAACACGTAGCAATCCTACGACGCGACAACAAGTGACACATCATAAGATGTCACCACAGTATACTCACTCGAAGTGATATCATGATACTCAATCGAAGTGATACCATACTCACTCGAAGTAACCACCATACTCACTCAACTCGTCAACACCCATGGCGATTACCCAAGAGAAATAATGAAATATCAAGTACTGCTAAGTGTACAATTATATCTGGACAGAGGTAGAAAGTAACAGAGAAACCTTTTAGCGCAGAAGTATTCTTACCTGTACCGGTAGATATATTTACCGTGGTGACTGCAAAAGTTTTCGGGTGCGCTTCAAATTTGAGTCTAAACGTACGGTACGTAATCCTGTCTGCTTCGTACTAATTTACTTCATGTAGTTTTGCAAAAATTAAATTCATCTCTATTAATAAATAATAATTGATATTATTAGTAGAATCATTGTCATTATAATGATTCTTAATGTTGTTCTGTATTCTATTCTTTATGATATACTAYTCCCTGAAGAATAGCATTAAATGTGATGTATAGCAGTAGTAGAGGATACTATCACGCTGGTGGTGGTGTTATCTGCATGATACTACTGCTGGTGTGCTTYGTGGGTGTGCGTGTGCTCTAAAATATATGATGTATTGGGATAAAGGAAGGATGGGGCAGGTTCGAAGTCAGTGACAGCAGGAGCTCGTTGCTCACAGATATTGACTACGCGTGTTCGTAGTAGCCGGTGCTTGCATCGATGTCAATTTCGAAGAAGCCCAGGAAGATATCGATCCAATCCAGGACGAGGAAGACAGCCACCGTGATTCAGAACCTGGAACAACAGGTGTTGGATTGTTGTCTTTGTAGTAAATGTCTCCGTCGAAGACTCGTTTAACGGCGCTCTCYTTCTTTTGAAGATTGCGGCTTCGTATCCTCTTTCTTCGTTTCATCTTGTCCTTGGTGCTTGATTCGTTCACTTTCTTTCGKGTGTCCTTGTTATTGGTTGGGGTGGCRGTTGGCGTTGCTGATTCGGGTTGTGTGGTTCCCATGAAGCCGTCGTCGCTTTCCGTCARTACGGCTGCGTTACTAATGTTGCCATCATCRACAAACTTTTTATTTCGGTTCTTTCTGCGATCCCTTCTTCGCATTTTGGTATCGATTTCATCAGKCCCCAAATYTCTATTGARATCGCTGGCATCATCCTTGGAACTGCTGTTCTTGTCGATGCCACTCTTTCCGCTGCCACTCTTGCTACCGCTTTTGGATGCTTCTTTGCCACCGCTCTTTGACTCTGAACCGTCTTTGCTGCCACTCTTGGATGT